TCCCTGGCATCCTCCGGAGGGGGGCAGATTCTGCTGTATTCACTCAGGTGCCTGGAACCTCTGCCAAGTTTCCCTTTTCTGCACCCAAGAGCCTGCCTGAAACAGTGGTTCCCATGGAAACGGAGCCCTGTGACACCCTCCGCTGCAGCGGACACAAGGCCCTTACACGCGCTTCTCCTTCATTTTAGCCAGCCAGTGCGCTCCAACCCTCAGATCCTCGGGGAAGAAGTGGCCTGGGGCTGCCAGCCCACTGAGTCAGGAGGACCTCTTGCAGAGTGGGAGGCAGCCCAGGCGTGTGGCCGGCTGGACTTCCAGGACAGACTGGACCTGGGAGGAGGTGCGGGGAGCCCCTCCTGCAGCTGTGGGTCAGAGGCTGAGCTCCCTGGGAGCTCTGGGGCCTCCCACTGAGTGGCCTCTGGCTCCAAGCAAGGTCCCACAAGAGGCTTCACAGTGGAAAGTGTCATCATCTCCTGTGGTGGAGTGGGACCCAGGAAAGTTAAAGGACTTGCCCAGGGTCAACTGGAGAGTGACAAAGCCAGTACTGAAAAGTCTGTTTCTTCCACTCCAAATAGAGCAAACGGCTGAGACCCAGGTTCCACACACAACTTGGAAATTTGCCATCATGCTCCCCAGGACGGGCTGGGCCTGCTTCTGTCCCGGCCTGAAAAGGTAAGACCAAAGACCACTCAGAATGGCTTTCTCTGAGTTAGAGAGCCCCGAGCTGTGACAAGACAGGCCCAGGACAAATGCCTCCCTGGCTAGGCCTTCACGTCTTTGGGCCTTGGTAACTTCCCACTGCAGCTACCACCCAAGGGTTGCCCCTCATAAAACACAGATTCGGGGGGTGCCCTGCCGTGGCCCTTGCCCACCCCTGCCCCCCCTCCCCAGCATCCCAGGCACTGCCAGAGGTGTCCCTCCCCTGGGAGTGGAGGTGGAGGCCACCCCTGGGAGGCCCCAACAGCAGTGTGGGCACATGCGATGGGCAGACTTTCCCCAAGAGGATCTGGGCCTTTCTGTAGAACCCTTGGAAGCGTGCCAGACCCAAGACAGAGTAAAGAAGGCAGGACAGGTCATGCTGACCGGTAGGACCTCCTGGTCAGTAAGAACACTTCAGCCCGATAGGGTTTCAGCTGTGGTTTCCTCACACTGGGGGTGAGGGGCAAGGATGGGGGAGTTGGAAACAGAGAGAGCTAGTGGCTGTTTCAGAAGGCTGGGTTTTCTTGTTTCATTTGAGTACACTGCCTTTAAGAGGAGGCAGTGGAGAGCCACCTCAGCTGGCTGGGGCCCTCGCTCTCACCCCGGCTTAGTGAGGTGCTCACAGCTCCCCTGCCCACAGGTACTGGGTCTTCTGAGCCTTCCTCCAATTGCCGGTCACAATCCCTTCCATCTGGGCCCAAGGTCAAACCTTTCTCAGTACGTGCCCAAAGCTGGCTCCATGGAGCTCTTGGGCTCCACGGGCCCTTTTCTTGGGCTCTGGCTCTGCCTACCCCCGACCAAGGGCAGTGGAGAGTGAGAGGAGGAGGAGGAGGAAGAGGAGAGAGGGAGGGAGGGAAGGGGGAAGACTGAGAGAGACACTCAGTACAGTTCCAGGGTTTGGGCCCTTGCTCACCAAGAGCCAGTGCCTGTAAGGAAAGACCCTCTGTGTAGAGGCGGGTCTCACCTTGCACATGGACTTTCAAGAAATGTCTGTTGCCTCAAATCAGCCCTCCCCTGGACCCCTCCACCCTGGGGTGTCCCTGTGAGCCAGCACAGCTGTGGAGTTGGAAAGCCACCTGGCTGAGGCTTATCTGTGTCTCCCACTGGCCCTAGAGCTCCTCTGTCGCCTCCCTCCCTCCAGCACCTGGGTGGAAACCCAGCAGAGCCTGGATGCCACCTGCTGGGAGACCCAGTGGTCCTGTCACTCACTGCGCATCACACGGGACAGCCTGTGCTTTGGTCCAGCCCCTGTCCTGGTTGGCACTACCACTGGGCAGCCTGCTGCTGGACCAGGTAGCTCCACCCACTGTCTCTCGCTGAGGTCTGGTCAGCTTCGGGGCTGGACCTGAGGACCTGCTGGCTGTCCCTTTCAGGAGGCCTCACCCGGGTCAGTGAAGAAGCCAAACTGTCTCTTGCCCTGTAGGCTTTACAGGTGGGGATGAGACATTCGTCCACTGGCTTTCTCAAGCTGCAGGGACACCATGAAGCTGTAGGGGACTCTCTTTAAAGTCGTTTTCTTTCTGGCTTGAAGTGAAGAGAGGACAACCTTTCCCTCCCTTTCAGCTCAGCTCACCTACCCCATATCCACCCCTCTGACCTCCACACCTGACTCCTGGGCCCCCTCAGTGTGGTGGGGCTGTAGACCTAGCTTCTGCAGCCCTTGCGACAGAGGGACATCATCTCTGCACATACCCACCTTCTCCTCACCAGGCGCTGCCGTGGTGCCCAGTCCGTGACTGAAGCATGGGTGACGCTGACTGCGCCAGCAGGGGCAGGCCCAGGCAGCACCTGGAAGGACCGGGGACCACGGGGAAGGGGCTCCATCCAGCAGCACGTGGTATGTGGGCCACACTGGACAAGTCGCCGGACTCAGGCCCTGGCATCAAGGCTGGAGATGGGTCACTGGGAGCTAAGCCTAGGGCAGGCCCGCCTCTGGGACAGTGGAGAAAGACAGTCCATGACCACCCAGAGCAGGGCTTCGGGCTGACCCCAGAGGATTCAGGTATCCCCTGAAATGCCCCAATTAAGAGCCGATTCCTTTGGGGAATGGTGCCCTTTCTACTCAGCCTGCACAGTCTCGGCGCTTCAGCGTTCTCAAGTGTAAATAGGTAAATAGCACTGTCAGCCTCTTAGTTAATACATGTAAAGTGCTTCGCACACTTCCTAGTGTACGCTCATAGCTCCGTTAATGCCTCTGCCCCTTATCCACGTGGCTCTTCCTTTACCCACCTGAGGTGGCCATAACTGGCCAGGACAGCAGCCTGGGACTGCGGATGCCATGGCCCTCAGGGCATCTGTCAGCAGCTACCCCTCCGGCTCACAGGCCCTTTGCTCGGGGATGGCCCAGCTGGAGCAGCTGGCAGAACTCCCAGGACCTCCAATCTGCCGTCCGTCCTGCCACAGGTTTGGCAAAGGTACTTGTGTTAAATCTCCTCGGAGACAGGCTCACGGGAATGGGGACTGGCGGCACGCCCAGGAAGGATCCTCTGGGGCCACCAGGAGCAGGGTCCCTAAATCCAAAACAGGACTGGGCTTCCACTTGGGAGACCTTGAACCGGCCACCCAGCTTCTCAGAGCTTCCTCTGGTCAGTGTGAGACAAGGACAGCCCCACCCCTTTCGGTGAGTGTCGTGGTAACAGGTGAGCCCGCGACCACCAAGGGGCTTTGCCTCACACGGAAGTAGGGTTTGCAGTTTAGGACCCCCGCGCCTTAAACTCACGGAAATGTGTGATATCTTTTTCTCTGTGGCTAGCTCTGTGTCTGTCACCTGCCAAGTGCCACCCCTACCCCAAGTTCCAAGAGCTTATGGTGATACTCTCCAGACTAAGCCCTTTGAAAAGCTGGGGTTCAGTGTCTGAGCCAAGGTGTCTGGACACCAAGTTCAAAGAGCAACAGCCTTTTCCCAGTTCACAGGGGAAACTGAGTTAAATTTTTAGGATTACTACTTCCCATCGTGGTGGACTAAATCCCCAACCGAGCACAACTTAAAGGCTGATCCAGTACATTTTTTAAAGTCTAATTGGGAGTACTGAGGAGCAAACACAGCAGCGAGGGATCACGGGGCCAAGATCAGGGAAGGGCAGGAACCCAGAGACACGTGTCTGGCGTGTGAGGCTACTTTCTCTGCCACTGGTCCTGCTCGGGATGCTGCTGAGTAGAGCTGGGGCCACCACGAGGAGGGGTGCCTGGCAAACCTTTTATGTTTTGGGTCGGGACTCCAGGGGCCTTGGTCCCAGAGTGTGAACAAGAGCAGAACGGCCCTCCAGAAGGCTGCAACTCAGCCTCAGAAAGTTGAAAGCCACCCTGGTTTGTTAGATCCCAAGTCAGACGTAAACACAACCTTGTGGGGAAAGACAACTTCATCCTACACCTCAAAGTATTTCTACAAGTTTCAGGTGTAACATACGGTACCTGATCAGAAATCGCCGTATACGTGAGGAGACAAGACAAACCTAACAAACCGAGAGAAACAATAGACACCAGAAACAGACCCATGGGCGCCCCGTTAGGGAGTCACTTGAACTTTAAATAAAAGGCCTAAAATAACTATGCTTGGTATGCTCAAGTATAGCAAAGATAAGACAGGCAATTTTGATAGAAAGCTGAAAGTTATGTTTAATTCTTTCTTTTTTCATCTATTTTATTCTTAAAATGCAGGGGCTACAGTTTCCCTGCATAGAGCAACATGTAAGAAACAAGAAATGAGATCTCTAGGAAAAGCCACAAGGAGGCATTTGGGCTACATCCTGGGGCGTTCGTGTGGGAGTGCGCTTCTAACAGTGACGACATGTTGTGTACGCACCACCCACTTCCTAGCAGCAAATTTGTTGCTGGTTCATAAGATGCAGTTAAACACAGACACTCCCAAAACCCAGCAGACCACAATCTTAAAGTGCCTTTGCCCAGGGGCGCATCTCCCTCTGCCCTGGCCCAGAGCAGTCACGGCAACATGTAGCAGCCTTTGAGCGTGTGTTTGGGGCCAGGCCCCTGCCAAGAGCTGTCCACACGGTGTCGCAACCCTGCGAGGAGGCTATGACTCTTCTCCCTTTTATAAATAGTGAAACCGAGGCCTAGGCGTCCCGTGTGACATGTGCAAGGTGTCTCCACTAACAAGCGTTAGAGTGAGCACGCGGACCCAGGTCTGCCTGCTCCTGGAGTGGGCCGCTCTTCGCCTGCTTATTGTAGGGGAATGCCTGTGACCAGAGCAGGCCTGGGGTTCTCTCTCCACAAACACTCATTAAACACCAACTGCATACAGGGGCCCTAACCTAGGATACTTAGTGGTAAGGACCCAAAGCCAAGGCTTAGAAAGTGAGAGCACTTTAATGTACCAGGGGACCTCCTCTCTCTCCTCTTCCTCTTCCTCTTCCCTTCTTCTGGAACCCAGGACTCAGCATGCAGAGTAGAGGGATGGACCAGGGATAACCCCAGGACACATGTACAGGAGAGAAGGAGTAAGGGTCATAGTGCAAAACCCCGTTGTGGCCCCAGATCCCTCCTGGGGAAGCTGGCTGGGGTCTGTCAAGAGGTCACCTTCCGGGGAGCCTGGGGAGCGGCCCCGCCCTGGCGCAGGTCCCAGGCTCCTTTCCCGGGGAACCGATACTCAGAGAGTTGCTGATGAACAACAATACTGTTTCCAGTCAAGGGTGTAGGAAGGGGACTCAGCCTTTATACAGGCTGTGGGGCCGGGAAACCCAGGCCAGGGCTTGTGGAGGGTACAAGTCACCAGGCGGCAGTGGGTTTGGGGGCCACGATGCAGCCAGCCAGGCCTGGGCCATGGTGGCCCCTTGTCTGATTGGCGGCTTTACCTGATTACTTTGGTCTTGCATGAGGGGTCCCTGGGGACCAGTAAGGTAGTGGGATGAGCTGAAGAGAGGACAAAGGGGAAAGAGCTTCCCCGGAGGAGGGGACAGAGTGAGGCTGGGGAAACTGGGGAGGGGCAGTTAAAATAAGGGCCTGGAGAGGAGTGGGGGGCGCGAGTGTGTAGGGGGAGGGGTGAGTGGTGACAGAGTAAGGTGGCAGGGCCTCTGTCCCACCCAAGGGGCTGAGAAAGCGCTTCCACTAGGTGGAGAATGGGGTCTTCTAGGTGCAGACATGTCACAAGGAGGAGAAGGGATGGATACCTGGAAGAACCTATTGGCTCTGTAGCTCAGTAGCACTTAAGTCTGCTTATGAGAACAAACAAAGGGGACTGTGGAGAGACAGGGGTAGAAAGGGAACAGGCAAGGTGGGGTCAGGAAGCTGGGAGCGGGGGGCTGCGCAGGCCTGGATGCCAGCCTGGGCTCTGGGAGCAAGAGCGACAGAAGCCCTCTGGTCCAGGCCAAGTCAAAGGCGGAATGTGGCAGCGCTGGCATTACTTTGCAGCTAGCAAACTCCTGTTGTGGATTCAGAATGAAAGAGGTGAGTGACAGGGATGGGGGGACAGGCCTGGGCTTGTCAGTCCTACTGCTGGATGGACCAGATTCCACACTCAGACCCCACCAAGACCCAGAACCTTCCTGCCCTCCTGAGCCCTGGGGACCCCAGATTGTAGAGAGGGTCTGCCTCTGGGACAGTGGAGAAGGACAGTGGCCCCTGACCACCCACCCAGAAAAGGGCTTAAGGGTCCCTTCCCTTCTTCCCCCTATTCCCTTGCCCCTGGCACTAAGGAATTAAGGGGGAGGACTCACCCAGAGTCCTACAGCTTCAAGGAGGTGACCCGGGGGATGTGGAAGAGCTGAGTCTCCTCAGAGCTACTGGAGCTGTGGCAATGTGAACAGAATGTGTGACCCTGGCACAGACCCTCGACCTGACACAGGGACAGACCCAGAGCCCTGATTTTCCTGCCTCAGAAGCTCGCCAGAGGAGGCAGGGCTCCAGAAAGCTGTGCCCGCTGGGTGTGCTGCAGCAAGGGCATGGGAAGAACTTCCCAACCTGGAGCACCCTGAGTGTGTGGCTCCTTAGGGCCAGCGTGTACCTCCTCTGCTAGTGGCGGGTGGGTTCAGGAAGTGGTGTGGCAGGGGACTGGGGCCCAGAGGCTGGAAAGACTTCTTCCTGGGCTCCCGTGGCCCCCGCAGCCCTGGTAGCCCCCTCACCTAAGGCGTTTCCAGATGGGATGGAAGTATTTGGAGGTCTTGATGGCAAAGATGATACTGGGGACCAGAAAGAAGGTACACCAAGCAAGGCAGAACCAGGAGGCATTCTGGAACAAGGGTGGGGGGTTAGCTCAGTGGAGCTGGGCAGTGACTTCTCATGCCACTCAGAATCCCAGGCCCCCACTACTCAGAGCTGAGAGGGCGGGCTGAGGTGCCACTCCTCGCCTCAGGCCCTGCTCATGCACCCCTCCCACAACGGCCTTAATGTCCATGAGCCCAGATGAGCTCCCCAGCACTCACCCATGGGTCAGCCATCATGTCACACAGGATCGCACGGCCATTGTCCAGGGCTCCAGAGAGGGGCTGGCAGGTGGCAATGCGCTGAGTCACCTGTGGCATCAATATGAGGCAGATGTACCAGGTCCCATGGGGCACACCCCATAGTCAGAGAGAGAAGTTGACAGGGACGTAGATAGGCCCAGGGACACAGCTGTACAGGCACATGGACACAGGAACACAGAGAGGCAAGGACACACTGACACAGGCTCAGCTCCTGCCCTTTCCATGCCATGCACCAGCCTCTGTGAAGCCCCTACTGTGTGCCCAGCACTGTGCTTTCAGCCACACTCCCACTGGAGAGGCTGCACAGATTGCAGAGCCTGGGATCAGCCAGCGCTGGAGGAGGAGGTGAGCTGGAGGGCTTGTTGGCCTCAGACAGTATGTGTAAGGGGCCAGCCCGAGGAAGGGTGTGGGGGCTGGGTGTGAGCAGCACATTCTGGGCCCATGGCTGCCCCGCTCACACTCAGGCCTCAGAGAAGGGCTGCCCAGAAGGTGTGTGTGCAGAGCCCAACCAGCGAGCAAGGGCATGGATGCCAGGTTTGGGAGTCTGGGTTCCAGAGCATCTCCACAGCATCCCCCAAAGAGTTCTAGGGATGAAAGAGGGATAGAGCAAGGTGAATGGCTGGTATGGCTGGGAGTGGGTGATTAGTAGCAGTGCTGAGGCTGGCAGGGGTCTGTGCCCCACTCACCTCCTCTCTCACCCAGGCCACATACTGGAAAAAGTATCCCATCTCCCGGGTCAGGAAGCACTTGCTTTCCTGCAGGAAAGAGGGGATCCCTGGGCTAGCAGGAATCTCAGGAACCTGCACCCCAGCCCCATGCCTGGCCCCATCAGGACAGGCTGAGCTTGCCTTCCTGGGAGTCACGGTAAAGGAATAGGCCTGGAGGAGAGGCCTGAGGTGGGAGCCCTGTGTGGGTCAGCCCTTCAACCCAGCTCTGCCTCTGAGGTGGCCCCCATCCCTCTGCCATCCCCCCACTCACATTCTTCAGGATACGGGCAGCCCAGGCAGGTAGCTCTTCTTTTAGGTGAGTGACCCTGTCTAGGACACCTGAGGTCTCCAGCTGGGGAGAGGAGAGGGACTCAACTCAGCATCCTGCTCAATCAGGGAGCAGCCACTCCTTCCGGAATGCAACATATAACACACAATATACTGAGCTTGGGAGAGGGGGAATTAAGCCCTAAGGACACAGAGGCCAAAGACAGTGGTCCTCAAGGATCTGCTCACCCACCCCCAACTCTTCCCAGCCCAACCCTCAACCTCCCATGGGACCAGGCAAAGCAGGTGAGGTCCCATGTCAGCTGGCCCCTCCCTGCCTCCCTCTCTCTGCTTCCCGTTTGCTCCACCCGACTCCCGACTCCCCATCTCCAGAAGCCACCTGGAGGCTTGGCGCTGAGAAAGCCAGAGCCCTGGCACTGATGTTGAGCTTGGCCTGTGGAGGAGAGATTGGGGCTGGTTAGGGGAGAGAGGGATCTGGCACCTGCCTCCTCTTTTGTGCCCCCTCCCTACCTTCCCTCTTCCCCAGGCCCCAAGCTCACTGGGCCCCCAGACTTACCACAAGGTGCTGCTGGGGGAGGACCTTGTTCTGGTAGAAGTTTTCGAGCCCTTGGGCCTCCTGCTGTAGTTGCTTCTCCAGCACAGAATCGCCCTGAGGGGGGATGGAGATAAAATGGCTCTGTTCCCAGGATAGGACAGCCTTTGCCAACTGCTCAGCCAGTGTGATGAGGGCTGTGAATGCCGGGGTCAGACAGAGACAACAGAGGCCTCCTTGAGCTTCCGGGCCTGATCTGGGTGCAGGGGCCTGAGCCCACGTTCTAGGTCTGCCGCCAGCTCACAGGCAACCCTACGTTAGCCGCAGAGCCCGTCTGGGTGAGGGCGGCATCTGCTGAAATGGTAGGGTCTATAAGATACCTGGAAAATAACTTTTTAAACTTCAAATATTTGTAAATACAAAATGCCACTTTTCCCAGTGGAGTTGCATGGGCAACTGTCATGATATCTGACCCACTGCCCCGTCCTCATGCCACCTGTCCTGGTGGCTCCCAGAGCAGCGAGCACCTAGAGACACTTGCCCCAGGAGAGAGGTCAGGGCGGTTACTTCATCTGAGCTTTACAGATGGAAGAGATGAGCCCAGGGACACAGAATGACTTGCCCAATGCCACACAGCCCACTGGTGGGCAAACTGAGTCATAGCTGATACTGCGAAACCCTTCGGCTCTGTCAGGGGTCCAGAGCCTCACTGGTGGGGGCCCTCTACCTGGTCTCTGCCCTCGCCCCCTCCCCTCGATCCAAACACTCTCACCCTCTCCCGCCTCTTGGGCTTCCCCAGACTCCTGCCTTCCTTGAGGGGTCTCTGCTCCCTTCTCACCTGAGAGTGGGCCAGTCCTTCCAGCTCCTGGGCCAGCTGCTCCACACTGGTGTTCACCACCGGCTTTTGGATCTGGAGGCAGATGGAGAGGCTGAGAGGGGATGAACCCCCAGTCTTTTCAAAACTTCTGCACACCAGGAGAGTCTGCTGGGGCACATCAGCCCAGTGGGTTTCACCTGAAACCGTGACTCATATACACCACTTTCCATTCAGATCGCTGAGAAAAGTGGGGCGCCCTCTGGTGTATCCCAAGGAAGAGGCGACTCCCTGCCACCATTTGCCACAGGAGAGGGTTCAGGACCACGGACAGAGTCTGGGCAAAAGGTCTGGGTACCCGCCAGGGACATGGGGAGTTGAGGGAAGATGGAGGGCTGGGGCAAGGTGAGATGCACCCCCCAGCTCCTCTGTGGACCCCTCTGTCCTGCAGCACTCTGGCCTGAGGGGCCCACTGCTGACCTGGATGAAGAAGCTGGAGTAGTGGATGCTACCAAGCCCACTGCTCTGCAGAGCCCTCAGGTCCCGCTGGCCAGCTGGACTCAGCAGGTCCAGACTCTTCACATCCACCGTGAGGTTCTGCAACTCTTGCTCCAGGTTAGCCATATACTGGGAGGGAGGGGACAGGATGAGGGCATGCCCAGGCACCGAGCCAGGACTCCAGAGCAGCAGCTCACCAGGGTCCCCACCCTGGATCCTCCCAGCCTAAGAGAGGGCCCTGCATTCCCCTACTTCCTTCCTTTCCCCCCAACCCATTCCCATCAAGACCCTGCCCTCCTCAGGTACCTATCTGGCTACCAGGCAGCAATGCAGACCTTCCTGGCCACCCAGAATAAAAGTGCTTCCCCAGCCCATCATTATCACATCACCGTCTGACAAGGTTTTTAGAGTGCCTATTGCTGTGACATTATTTATGTGTGCACTTGCCTACTGTCATCATCTCTATGAGAGCAGCACCTGGTACACCCATTCTGAACCAAACGTTTAGTGTCTAGAGCAGAAGCTCACACGTGGTAGGTGCCAGACAAGTGTGTTGAATGTGTAAAAATGAATGGATGGATGGTGAATGAATGAATGAATGAATGAGTGCACACAATCATACTTCCAAGACAGATCACAATTTAAAAAGGGACACTCAGTATTTTCCAGCCATTGCTGGAGGAGACTTAAAGGGCATGGCATTTGGCCCCAGTGTTTAAGAGATGAGAAACTGAGTCCGGAGAGGAGCATTCACCTGCCCGAGGTTTCACAGCAGCTTAGAGAATGGAGTTCAGCTCTGGTCCTCCCCCTCCCACCCACCACCCTGCTTTCCCAGGGGGAGCAGGGCCAGATTCTTTCTCAGAGGCATTGGTAGCAGACAGGTACAAGAGATGTTTGAAGGTGGCCAGAGCCCTCCGCCTGGTTCCCTGGAAAGCACACCACATCACATTTTCCTCTGGCTTGTCAGCTTCTTATGATCTCCTTTGAGGACAAGCACTCTTAAGATCATGTTTGATGTTGCCAGATGGCCCCCAAGGACTGATCAGTCCCTCTGAACCTGAGGCCCTACCTGTCCAGACACTCCTGTGAGTGGACCATTCCCCTCCCGGGACTGGGGATGAGAACCTTCCCATAAGAGCCGTGACTCCCAGCCAGCAAAGCACAGGCCCCTCTGCCCAGCCACTGCTGAAGCCCTCCCTGGCCGCCAGCCTTCCTCCACAGGCAGTGTCTGTGACTGAGAACCTGGCGTCACCTGCTCTGCGGGCGTCTCGTCTGGTTAGAGACAGTGGAGGAGGAGAAAGCTAAGGCACTACAGAAGCTGGCCCAGTTACATAGGTCAAGTTATGGAGTTGGGGCTGTCATCTGGACTCCACTGGCCGGTGGGCTGAGCAGAAGTGGTGAGTCCAAGAGGAGTTGGAAGGGCTTCTGGATGGAGAATCAGGAGTCAGCATGCTCGGGGGTGGGTCCCCAGTGGGCGTGGGAATGGCTCTCTGAGGGCCCTGGAAGTCCAGCTCCTCTCCCCCCACCTCTCATAGGCATGGAGAGTGGAAAGGAGAGAAAGTACACCCTCAGGAGAACCCCATTCTCTAAAGAGGTCCCTTTTTTTGTGAAGTAGTTCTTCCTTCTCTGTCCCAGAACTATCTGTCATCAGCATGGACCTTTTCCTCCAGTTCTGTACACCAAGTTCTGGCCAAGTTCTGGCCAAGTCTGGCGGCTGAGGAATTGAATCCTGCCACCACCTACTGATTGTGTAAGCTCAGCAAGGAGCCTGTGGGAGCCCTTCCCCAGTGGTATTCAACTTGGTCACCACCATTTTCACTGTCACCCTGTCCCAGCTGCAGCACGCCAGCCAGCGCCTGCCTGGGTCAGGACACAAACACCCTCAGCCTCTCACCACCATTAGACTTTCCTGCTGTAGCCTCAGCTGCATCCGGTTTTCCTGGAGCACAGTGCTCAGAGCTGCTCAGAGCCTCCAGGTGCTCTCCCACCTACCTGCACATCCCAGACACCTCCTGGGCTCCAGCCCTGGGCCAGACCCTGAGCTAGCACCTGGGGCCTCTGCCCCTGAGACACCTCAATTGCTCTTGCAGACTTCTCAGGTTCAAGGAGATGATTTCACCATGGAGTCAAGACTAGAGGAGGGAGATCTTCAGGAGGAGTCCACACAGCCTTCTGGAAGTTTCCCTTACCTGGCTCATATCCAGGTACATCTCCAGGTCATAGGAGTCATTGAGCTGCAGGACCTTCCAGAGTGGGGCCCCTTTCCTGCACTGCCTGGGGAGGAACAAAAGTCATCAAAGAGGAGGGAAGGGATGGCCAGTAGGGGCAGACATCACCTGAATGGGGCACCCATCTCAGCTCCTCCTCATACCCTGTCCCCAGCCCAAGCTTCCGACTCACTGATAGGCCAGGAGGATGCTGATATTCTTCTTCAGGCCCAGAAGGTGGGGCAAGTTCATGGACGAGGGCAGGTTCCCCGGAGTGTCAACAAACTGGAGATGGGTTAGGGAGAATGAGCCTGGAGTGGGGAGGGGCAAGGCCTCCCAGCCAAGAGCCAAATCCCATGACCCCCTCGCTCAGCAGAGACCATACCCAAATCTGCCTCGGACTCAAATCACTGGGGGCCTTAACTTACTGTAGGGACCCTCCTAAAACAGAGAATTCGGGATTACCTGCTAGAAGCACTGGGGAACCAAAGTCACCACTTTGCAGACTCAGAGCTGGGAGAACAGAGGGGCTCAGGTCTGGGTTCAAGCCCTGGGAGTTCCTGCCCTGGGCTGGGCATCGCCCAAGGACTCATGGGCTCTGTCTCCCACTCCTCACCTACTGGTGGTTTTCTGCTTTTTGTTGGGCCGTCTCCATCGCTCTCCCCACCCCCATGCCCATCCTCTTGCCTTCTCTGGCGCCCACTTCCTTCTAACCCTTTTTCTATGCTCACCTTACAGCAGAGAAATCCCCCTCACCTCTACCCACCTCATAGAGTTCCCCGCTCTCCCAGCTCCGGCACACCAGCGTTTGCACGTTGCCACCCACCAGGAACGTAGAGAAGACGAGGAGGATGAGGGGCCCAGCAAAGAGGAAGCTGAGGCCCACACCCCTGGGGAAGGCAGACAGGGGTAGGTGAGGAAGGAGAGATCTTCCGCTGAACCCACATCCCAGGCCAACATGGTCAAGTTGGCCTCAGGGTAGAGCCCTCTGGCGACAAAACTCAGAGGGCTCTGCCACTTGGGTCAGGAGTTAGAACTGCTGACTGTCCCCACCATGTCCACCCCATCCTCGCACTATTTCTGGTACTCTGGCTGGCCCTGGCAGCCTAGAGGACAGGGTAACTGTTGTGCTCAAAGAGACAGGACTGCCAGCCTTTAGGCCCAGAGCACATAGTGGCGACCAGCTCCAGAGTGCAGCCCTCAACGGGGCCACCTGTGCAGCTGGCCACAACCCTCCAGGAGGACCAGCAACCGAGAGAGTTTGAGGAGGACCTCAGACCTGCAGGTCTTTGGGAGGCAGGCGGAGCCCTGTGCCAAGATCTGCAAGGGTGTCAAACTCATTTTCACTGGGGGCCGCATCAGTCTCACAGTTGCCTTCAAAGGGCCGAATGTAATTTTAGGATTATATAAATGTAATTACTCCTTAGCTAGGGGCAAGGAGCTCGGCATTGCTGCCAGGTAGAAACAAGGTGGAGGGCCAGATTCAGCCTGCAAGCCTTGTATTTGCCACCTGTGGCTTAGAGAATAAAACATGGGCTGGACTTCAGCCCCTACTCACTCCTTCAGCCAAGGACTCTTTTGCAGTGACCAGCCTACACAACTAAACGTGCCGGCCCTGCCCTTGAAGAACAGGCCCAGTCAAGAGAATAACATTCAGCTTCACCCCACTGCCCTGCTCCTCTCTCAACAAGCTTGCTGTTGGTGGGTGAGGGGCAGCATGTGAGGGGCCAACTAGTCCAGGGATGGCAAATAGATTCTATCTCTGGTGCCACCTCCTAGTGGTGGTGCTGCCTGGATGCTGGGTTAAGAAAGACTCCGAGGCTCTGCCTGTGCTCAGGGGGAAGGAATGCCCACTGGTTACTATAATTATCACTGATGTGGAGGCAGAAGTGCTTCTTTGTTGTCATTCCTGCTCTAGTGAAACCTTTTATGCAGATGAGGACTCCACAGCCCAGATGGGTTTCTGATTTGCCCACAGCCACCCAGCTCGTCAGTACCAGAGCTCAGTCTCGCCATGCCCAGGACAGGAGCTGTCTGTGAGTGAAGAGGGCCCTGGCCAGCCTGTTGGGAGAGACATTACCCCTCTCTACAGCCCTTCTTACACCATGAGGATGCGGGCTCCAGCCCTGCCCTTGGCTTCCAAGTGGCTGGGGTGCTCCCGGGCAGACAGCCCCCAGATGCCCAGGTTGAGGCCCACCAGGTTACAGACCACCACCAGCAGGACCGCAGAACACAGCACGCAGCCCACAATCCACCTGCCACAGAGAAGGTACAGGTGTCACTGGGAAGGGATAGGCCAGCATAGGACTGACTGCCTGGGTGGGGCCACTAATCCCTGCCCCTATGGGGTCCTCAGGCTCAAGGCCACACAGTCGAGGTGGGGACACAGAAAGGATCTTGGCTGAAAGGCAGACAGAGGCTTAGTACAACAAGGAGTTGATGGGGGGCTGGAATCGGGCCCCGCTGGCCAAGAGGCTGGGCTGCCTACTCCACCCCCCCCCCCCGCCATGGGTTTTGAGCACCTGTACTTCTCGTATCTCTGCACCTCCTTCAGGTAGGGGCGACTATTGTTTTCCACCTTCTCCAGCGCCTGGCTCCAGCGAGAGGCTGCCTCCCAGTCTGGGAATACTTTGGCCATTGTCTTCAACCCTTCGGGCTGCTGGGCCACCACCTTCTTCAGCTCTGCCCAAAGCAGCAGGGGCTTATGGGTTGGGGAAGGCACCCAGGGGCCCCTGGGAAAGGATGGTCGGGAGAAGCTCCTGACCTACAGAGGGCCCACTCCCTGTCCAGGCCCAGCCAAGGGAGCAGCCTTCAGCCTCCCCCGCACTGCCCCGCTCCTCTCTCCACAAGCCTGTTGTTAGGGGAGGAATGGGGTGGGGTGGGGTGCTAGGCCGGCCTTACCTGTGACCACATCGGCCATCTGCAAGGAGGCCAGGAGTGGGAGGGCATTGAAGGTGCTGTTCTCCTGCCAGAGCAAAAGGTAGCTGAGCCTCCTGCTCTCCAACTTGGGGTATCCCAACTTGGGGACCCTGACATCAACAGGCCCAGAAGGAGGAGATCCTACTCGGTGCTCCCAACTCAGGAAATAAGGAAACAGCCTTCCTTTGTTCCCCTGGGTCAATGGCATCTTCTCCCCTTCCTGGGCCCCACCTGATTCAACTCCCCAAACAGTGCTCCTCAAAGACCCCTCCCTTGTTTCCCCATCCCCTCTTGCTGAGACAATCGCAATAGACTCCCCGCTATTGTCTCATCTCTCCCATCCATCCTGCACATGGCTGCCAGGTCTATTTCCCACAAGTCCAGCTCTAACCTACTCTTCCAGGCTCACCTCCCACTTCTTTCCGTCTGGAACCTTCTGCTCCAGCCGTTCGGCACAGGTGACTCACCATTTCCTCAACTCAGACTTTCCGGGCCCTGGGTCACAGGCGTTGGCTGTGTCGCACATTCCCCCACGGCCCGCCTTTACACAGGAGATCCTGCCTGCCCCCTGGGGCTCAGCTGCACGCTCCCCCCCTTGCCACTCCAGCGCCCCACGCTTAAGGGCCTAGCTCTTGCTTCTGAGTTCCAGGCCTGCCTCCCCCACCAGCCTCTGTGCACTCAAAAACTGGCATTGTGAGATTCCGGCCCAGGATCCCATGTGACAGGTGAGGCCAAATTTGGTCCAAATCTTAGATTTAACTGGGTACCCACCCAAAAGGGGAAAACGGAGGCCTCTCACTCGTGAGTTCCCAGGCAGGTGGGGGAAGTCGGGCAGACTGGGCTAGGCACTCACCTCCTGGACCATGCTGGAGAAGTTGGCCTCTGGGACCCCCTTCAGGTGATGTAGGACATCATCCACTTGGGGCACCTGAAATTGGAGAGGGGAGTGGGTGATGACAAAGGACCGAGAGGGGCTCCTGAGGGAGAATGGGAGGCTGGGAGCAGAGACTGCTGTACTCTCAGTGTCCTCTTGTTTAAAACGTGGGGACCTGCGCAGCTCTCCTGTCCTGGGTGGCAGTGAGCACTCAAGGAGGCAATTCACAGGACACTCACAGCACAGTGTGTACCCCGGGTCTGTGGAGAGGGAGGGGGTCTGCCTCAGGGAACATGGGACCCAGGCTGCCTGGGTATTCCTATGGCAGCAGGTAAAAAGGCCTCCCTTGCTCTAATGGCTTCTGTCCAGCCTGCACCTGGCTGAAGTCAGCTCCCAACTCCAGGTCTTGGACCCGGCTCAGGGTCTCTGCACAGCTCTGGCAGTCAGGCTCCTGCAGCAGGGCATGGAGGTGCTCCCGGTGTGCCCGAACAGCCTGATCCAGCTCCTGCTGGCCCTTCCACAGCTCCACAAGAGTGGTGTTCAGGGCTCGGAGGTGGTCCACGGAGACCTGTAGGGCTGAGACCCACCCACACATTGATTGAGCAGCATCCGCTGCTGCCAGAGTCCTCAGAGCCCTTGCAGGAAGCAAAACAACTTCCCTCCCCACGAGTCAAATGGACCTGCCAACATTAACCTCTAACCTCAATAGTTATAATGGATATGACCTCAGGGCACACTGAGGCAGGATGTGGACAAGGGTGTCCAAGGGGATCCTAGGGTAAACCCTAGGGGAGGGGCTTGCCCGCAGGAGACATCACCCTGGACCCTGATCCCACTCACCATGGCCCAGGCTGAGCAGTGAGGCCAGCATCTCGTAAACTGTGCTCCTGAGCTGGGTGTGGATTGTGCTCCCGATGCTCGTGGCAACACCTGAAGAGCACAGGCATCTGAGGGCTGGTCCCCAGGAGCCAAGAGCCCTCCCCACCCGTCCATCCGGCCTCCCCAGGTTCTGCAGCAGACTGGCTGCTGTGCAGCCCCACTGGCCCAATCTCCACCCAGTAAGGGTGTTTCCAGGTAGAGCCCAGATGAGGGAATGAGAGGGCCCTTCGAGACAGGCCTGGGCAGGAGGTCCTGGGGCTGGCCTGCCTGCCAGCCAGCTGTAATCCTCACCATCCAGGTCCTTCAAGACACGTTTCTGGGGAAGGGAGAACTGCTGTGCCACAGCCTGCAGCTCCTAGGCAAACACAGGGCCATCACTTGACAGCCCTCCCTCTGGTGGTTTCCCAGACCTTCCCAGCATTTAAAACGTGGGGACTCTCCAGCATTTACGTATTACAGAGACTTTCCAGCAGGGGGCAGTCAGGTGCATGTTGGAAGTGGCACGCTGTGGAAATTTGTAGGGCCCACTCTGCTCTGACCTGCCTGGGGCCTGGTGCTCTTGTGGGTAGGTGAGGGTGAGGGGTTACCTGGTGCTCACCTGGGGAACATCAGAGACCAGGCCCCGGAGGCTGAGCAGTGTCTCAGGCACAGCCTTGGCACTGGGGCCCATCTGTTCATGCACACGCTGGTTGGTGACAAAGGCACAGACAACGCCAATCCTGCAAGATGGGGGCGGAGAAAGGGACTCGATGGATGTCCTCTGGCACCTGCACCTGGACCCACCCCTCCCGCCGGAGCCAGGCACCCCTCACAGCAGCACGAGGGTGGTGAGCAGCAGGAAGGTCATGAGGGTGCCACGCTCACAGGCCATGTCCTTGTGCTCCGTCTTCACTCGACCCCCACAGCGCCTCTTGCGGCCACGGCAACAACAGAAACAGAGCCCGGCAGCGGGCACCACCAGGAGGTAGAGGCCGGCGATTACAGCACACACCACGTAGCCAGTCTCGTACTGCACCACCTGGCGGGGCGGCAAGGTGGAAGAGCTGTTCTGATTTCACCAGGCAGCCTGCCCCACAGAACACCAGAGGGTAACCAGGAGGGGGCGATGCACACAGTGGGCACTTTCACGAATGTCCTTGAACCCGTGCAAGGTGCACGTGTCCTTACTGTTTATCACCTTGTATCTGGAGAAACTGCCCTCCAGGGAGGTCAGGGCTCGCTGCACACACGTTAATGGCAGAGCTGTTGTTTGAAATCAGGTCTGCCAACTGCAGCACTCATGAAAGAGGGGGAGGGGTGCCCAGACTCCACCCCCCTCCAACCCAGGGGACAGCCAGCAAGAGGGGCTGAGCTGAGGGAGCCTTCCTATTCTGGCCCCCAGGCTCAGCCTGAACTCCTTCCCCTGCCCCGCCCCCTCCCCAGCCTCACCTCGTCCACCTTCACGGAGGCCGGCTCATTCAGCAGCGCCCTGGCCAGTTCTATGGAAAGAGTCACACAGGAGACTTGGGGAATGCGACTGCCCTCACACAGTTCCCACCCCCACTGCCAGGAGAAGTTGGGCTCTCCAGAGTGGCCCCTCCCACTACCACGGCACACTGGGAGAAGGCAGTGCCGCTACAGCCCCTTGCCATCATGCCCAGGCCTCAGGGTGGAGTGGCTGAGGGGAGGCCTGGCTGGCCCCTCCTCCTGGAACCTGCAGGTTGGCCCTGCAGCAGGAAGCCAAGCCATCAGCCTGGTTAAGGGCAGAGGAGAGCCTGGCCTAGGAGCTCTTTCCCTCAAAAGGCGGGGCAACAGGCTGAGAGCTCCCTGCAGCCCCTCCTGTACCTCCCAACCCCTGGTACCACCAGACCCAGAGAAAATTTTAGCCAGGCCTTTGGGGACTTCTAATGTAATCTCCTCCATATTAAAACAGAAACTAATACTCAGAGGGGGTAAAGGTCCCCCTTTACAGAGGGGGTAATACTCTAAGGTCACACAGAAAGGTCCTGGAGGGGTCTCCAGGTGATGCCCCTGGGCAGGAAGATGGGGGTGGGGAATGCTGGAGACCCTGCCCTGCAAGCACCTCATTCCGTGGTGGTGGGGGATAAGGGTGCTGGCCAGGACCCAGCCCTTCCCGAGGCCCGCCTGGGAGAGCACACTCACCGGTGGGGAAGGGTTTGGGCTGCACAGCAGAGAGGAAGCGGCGCACGGTGCTGTAGAGGTGGTCCAGAGGCCCAGGAGCGCGGACACGAGGAGCCAGCCATAGGTCCCTGGCTGTGGGTGTGAAAGTCAGGCGTGAGGCTGGGCCGAGAGACCCACAGTCCACGGCCTGCGCCCCCCGCAGGCTCAGGGACAGCATCAGGCCCAGCAGACGTGCTGGGAGGCCTGGTGCGCTTGCCATGAGGAGCAGGCAAATGTGGGGCTCAGGCGGCAGAGAGTGTGGGAGGAACGCAGGGCCAGCCGTGCATCCTTCGCCAGCCTCTGTGCTCCGGCTCTCAAAACTGGCCCGACGGGTTTGGGCTCCCGAGCTACCTGGGCACAGGCCCAAAGCGCTGGAAGGGCAGGGTGGAGGCCTGGAGTTGGAGGCAGGGCCTGGTCAGACCGCCCTCTGAAGCCTGGGGTGGGAGCCTGGTGCTCTTACCCCTCCCCAAGCCTTCCTGGGAGGGCTGCCTCCGAGTTGGGTAAAGGAAGTACTCAGTAGCTGTGGATTACCTAGGGTGGTCCAATTTGTAAATACTATATTCTGCGTTCAGACTCTGGGAAGCCCTGGCCCAAACATGACCAGTGCAGCCTTACAGGCCCAGGAACCGGGCTCCTCTCCCAGCTCCTTCTGGAGCCTTCTGCCAGGCCTGTGGAGCAGAGAGGCCACCAGGCTTTGTCTGGAGCGGCTCTTGGAGGCTCCATTCAGGCAGGCACAGTCCTTTGGGAGGGCAAATCCTCGCCAAGGCGGGCCCTTTGGCCCAGCACAGCCCCATCTAGTCACAGCTGAGAGAGCTGATAGAAGCTATGCCCAGAGATGTAGCTACACAGGCCTGTGTTTTCCTAGTGGCTGTGTACCTGATACCAAGAGGCTGCCGGTAGCTGAGCAGGTCCTGGGGAAATAATGCTACATGGATGGAGATGATTCTGGCAGCATCATTCTTCATGCCAAAACACCCCTGATGGCCACCCAGACAAAGGAATCAGTAAAACGGGCATCTCACATTATATACCAGGCAGTCATTAAAGAAAATACTGTGGAAATGGCTCTTTTGACCTGAGAGATACCCACAATGCACTAATGAGAGCAAACAGCTGATCACGTAACAGTACATGGAGGGAAGATGTAAGACACCGATCACCTCTGGGTAGATCTGGCTAAAATCCTGGGCCATTTCACTCTCTTCTGCTCATCTCTACTGCTCCTTTTTCTTAGACATGTGCTGCTTGTGTTAAAAGAAATAATGGAGTTTGTGAATTCCCATGGCAGCCCCTCCCTGGGAGCCCTGGACGGAGGGGCTGCTGCCCTGGTTTGGGGGGTGGGTAAGTTTGTACAGGAATTTTTTGTTGCTCATGGTGGGGTGGGTCACTGAAGTCCGAGTCTGAGCCAAGCCTGCAGCAGTATCCTTCCCCTTCCCATGCTGCCTCCACAGTGTTCTTAGAAGCAGAGCACAAAAGGCGCAGTCGTAGAAGGAACAGTCCTGTTTAATAACAGGGTGCACACAGGAAGCGGACCTCATCAAAGGGCTACTCAGAGACGAGGATCAGGGCTGCACTGAGGGACTGGCTGAGGGCATCCTGGCTTCTAAGGTCGGGGAAGGGGGTGGTCTGGGGCCAGTACTGCCTCTGGAGGCCCCTGACACTGTGCCCGAGACTATGCTGCATAAATGCAGGCAGTGTCCAACCCTCCCCCTCTGGGCTGACCCACAGGAGCCCAGCACCTGTGGAGGACCCGTGTCCCCTGGAGGCTGCCATCAGGAGGGGCTGGTCTCCCCAGAACCTACCTGCCCCTCCTCTTTCTCTCCTCCAACGTGAGCTGTTAAAAAGTTACTCCCCCGGCCAGTGTGACTCAGTTGCTTGGGTGTCGTCCTGCAAACCAAAGGGTCACCTGTTCAATTCCTGGTCAGGACACGTATCTGGGTTGTGGGTTCAGCTATGCAAGAAGCACCTGATCAGTGTTGCTCTCCCTGTCTTTCGCCTCTACCTCCCCTCTCTCTAGAAGCAATTTTTTTTTAATTTAAAAAAGTTACTGCCCTGGCAATCACGTTCTGAGTTCAGTTCTGCCACCAGCAGGATGGAAGTAGCCCTTTCCCAGCTGGATCTAATCCACCTGCTCTACAGTTGGTAGTGACCATTTAGGCTTTTTTGTGTTTTCTGAGTTGGGTACACTGGAAGCAGTAGAGTTGAGCTTCCAGCTTCCTGGGCAGCATTTGAAACCCTCAGGGTGCCCAGGCTGCTTTGACTCAGTGGATTGAGTGCAAGCCTGAGAACCAAAAGGTCACCGGTTAGATGCCTTGTCAGAGTACATGGGTTGCAGGCCATGTCCCCAGTTGCAGGTGCACAAGAGGCACTCATAGATATTTCTCACACATCAGTGTTTCTCTCCCTCTCTTCTCCTCTCTCTAAAAATAAAAATATGAAAGAAAGAGTGAGCAAGAAAGAAGAAACCCTTGGGGCTTTGAGCCATAAGCAGTCCAGGCCTCCAGCTCTGTCTCCCACTTTTCTCACTTCCTAACTCCAAGGCAGGATTTCTCCAAGAAAAAAAACAAAATGTAGCAAACCTCAATGTTAGCTGAGGGGCAGAAGGGTTGATAAAGACACTGAATCTTCCTACTTGACAGGTGGACAAAACAAGGCAGAAAGAAGAGAACTTTAGCAGTCAGTGGCCATGCCAGGGCTCCCCTACCCAAGCAGGATCTCGATGGAACAATCTATCGGCAGACTGGCCAGCCCGCCCCAGACTCCTCCCCTCCCACAGCCCCACCAGGAGAACAGGTTGGGCTCAGGGACCAGCCCTGGGTGCAGGATAGAGGGGAGATGAAACAGCTGGTTTAACTGAATTCCTCGGAAGGTCGAGCAAGTGGGCTGTGTGGGGGCTGGGCCCTCTCACAGCAGCCATGCCCCAGCAGCAGGGGTGGAGTGCTTTTAGCAGTGGGAAGGGTCCTGTTCTGCTGCGTCTGTTTATTCACACCTACTCTGAGCACACCTGCTGGTGCCTTCCTCCTGCTCCCCCCACCCCCAGGGCCCTGGAAATTCTTTGGTTGACCTGAGATCAGCTAACCCTGGTTACCTTGGAAACACTTCCTGGGGGAACTTTCCCAACCTGTGACACACCTTCCCAGAAGTTTGATACGCCCCATATCCTACAGCCCTGAGGTGGGAGAAGAGAGTGGGGAGGGAGAGACCTGGACAAGGGGAGGGACTCTGGCCTTCGTAAACCAGTTGGGAGGACGCCAGCTGTGGTGTTTCCACTGGAAACAGAGAGGAGGAAATGTCGAGCTGTCCTCAATCATCAGGCTAGAGGGCTGGCTCCTCTTTTTGCTGTCCTCAGGTGTCTACCCTGTGCCCAGGGAATAGGTCGCAAACCAACCCAAGGGGACAGAGACCCATTCATCAGATCACCAAGGCTAGAGCATGACATTGCTATAGTGAACTCTCTTTAGGTGGCAAGAGGCAGACACCTGCTGAGACTGCCGAAGGATCTGAAAAATGAGAATTTATAGTAGAGATCAGAGGCACTGGATGTGTGCAAGCTTGGGAGCTGGAACGGAGGCTTGGGGACTCAGAGCCCAGATCATGTGCCCCTTGCTCTGTCTCAGATGGTCTGTCTGGGCCCAGGCTCTCCCCACAGCATGCTGTCTGGGATCCTCTGCATCTAACAAGGCAGAGCAGGCCATCCTGCCAATCAGCGGCAACCTGTTCTCCCTGGTAGCCTATCAACACAGCCCACAGCACCCAGGCCACATTCTGAATCATGCTTTCCCCAGCTGGAAACGGCATCCCCCAGGCCGCCACAATCTGGCATTCTGACAGCCTTACACAGTGCAGTCACAGCTGCTGGGCCACGACTGGGCAGTGGGGATGTGAGGACAGTCCTCTGAGAAGGAGGTAACACTGAAAATGTGTTGGTCACAGTTGTGGGAGAGTAACTCTTGTTCTAAAAGCCACCAAATGCACGGGTCACCCAGTGAATGTCATTCTCAAAACTGGGAAAGACACCAGAGTTTGTACTGTCTGTCACGTGCCAAACCCAATAAGCAGAAACAGGGATTGAGTCTTTATGGGCACTTTATTCAGATGGCTGGCGATCTGAGAAGATGACAGTTCATACCCCAACAGACCATCTTACATTTTTCTTCCAAGCCAACATGTTTTATAGCAGGGAATAAACAAGATGCAGTGAGGGAGTTTGAGATTCAGGGAGAGTCAGGTGAAAGAAACCGCACATTCTCGCCCTGGGCAGTCCCCTGTTCCCAGGGGCGGGCGAGCGGTCATCTGTCTCTCCCTGGAACACAAAGGCCCGGATGCCTCCACTTGTCCCCAGGCGGTAATCTTTAGTGCCCCAGGAGGTCAGCTCCTAGGAGCCAGGATAGGCCTTATCTGTAGTTTGTGAAACAATAGCTTTAACATATACATTACCTACTAGGCTTATAACTGTTTACCTTAAACTAAAATTTTCCAACTCTTGAGTCCCCTATCATTGTGAAAAGCTTTGGTTGAGAATCCCATGAGAGGGAATGCAGAGCTACCTTGGGGAGAATATTTTGGAGAATTGCCACCACCATGAGCCTCGAATCACCCCTGACTTCTCGTCCCTCACTCCTGCATCCAGCCAATCAGCTGTGTCCTTCCACTGCCACCTCCCAAGCCTGGCTCCACTAGAAACCCCAGAAAATGCAGGTCAGACCATGTGACTCCGTGGCCTCATGTAGCCTCAGGATGAGAGTGAGAGCCAGCCTCTGTCCTCCCAGGGCCTTCGCACCGGGCCCTCCCAGTCCCCTGGCAATTTCCTGTCAGTGCTCACTGTCACTGTCAAATCGCCCTCTGTCCTTCTCTGCCCACGTGGGGTCCCTTCCTCCACGCCTCTCTTTTACCCCATTTCCCTCGTCCTTTAAGACTTGGCTCTGTGGCTTTTTCTGTAGGAGGCACTGGTCCCCCGACCCCCTAGCGGAGTAAGGGATCTCTTCAGGCCTCGTCCACATTCCCTGTGCACACGTCTGTCTCCTCACATACACAGACTCGCGGTCCCCCTCCTCAGCCCTGGCACAGAGCCCAGCACATGGCCATTCTCCGTAAATGTCTGCCTGGACTAGAGGCAAGTGGATTTCAAAACATTAAAAGACACAGCATTTTCTTGCAGGCAGAGTCTGACAGTGAATGTGGTACCAGGGTAGGTGGAAGGGCCCCTCGCCAAAGTCTAAGGGTACGGTGGTAAGTGAACCGGCGAGGGCAGGACGGGGTGGGATGGGGAGGCTGCTCCGCATCCCCGGGAACTTCTTCACAAGCCTCGTTAAGCAGTAAAGATGTGCGTGGGGAGTTAGCAACATGCTGGAGAGTTCCTGTGACAACCACTGAAGGCAGGT